AGCTCCGTGGGGTGGGGGGCGGTGGCGAGTCCCCGAAAGACCCCCCACCCGATGCCTTGCGAGGCAGAGCCAGCCGGGCCGCTTCCCACCCCGGCTCCCCCATCGCCCAAACGGGAAGCGCCCCGTTCCTTCGTAGCCGAAAAGAGACGTTCAGTAGTGTTTCTCAACCTTGACCATTTGAAGGCGTGTGGACTTCAACTCCCAGAATTCCACAGCCAGCATTGCTGGCTGTGGAATTCTGGGAGTTGAAGTCCACACGCCTTCAAATGGTCAAGGTTGAGAAACACAGCCGGAGGGTCTCCACGGGCACACGAGAGCCCCCTCCCCCGCCGCCTTTGCCCCGGGGTCTCTCCGCCACGCTGCTTGCTTGCACGCCCTCCCCCCCTCCCATTTACCTAACCATGGTTTGCTGAAGGCGGTCCCCCCTGGGGCACCTGCCAGCGGCGCCCCCCCGCCCGGGAAGGCCGGCTGGGGGTGGGGGGGCTCGGGACCCAGCTGTGCGCGGCTCCCCCCTTCCCTACGCCCGGCTGGGCTACAGGCCCCCATTGGACAAGCCACGGCTTAGCGGATCCCTAACCACCATCCTCCCACCTGCTGGGAGGGGCGGCGGCCGGGAGGGAGGGAGGCGCCTCCGGAGCGCCCCCTCCCCGGGCATCTGCCACGCCGGCCTCGCCTCGCCGCCTCCTCCTCCTCCCCGGCCGGATCCTCGCAAGGCGGTGACGCAGCAGCGCTGCTTCCAGCGGCGCCGGACAGGTAAGGCGGCAGCCGGGCGCGAACCCGGGCCCGGCGCTCCCCTCCCTGGCGGGGGCCGCGGCTGCCGGGCGGCTCCCGCTCTCCGCCTCGGGGCGCCCGGAGCTGTGCCGGCGTGGGCGGACCGGGGGCGCGCAGGCGGGCGCGGGAGGGATGGGGGGGCGGTGTGGGGGGGGCAGAAGGGCCACGGCTGGCCCGCGGGACCCCCTCGGGCTGGGGGGAGGCCTCGAGTTCCGAGGGGGTCCCACCTGCTGCTTCCCCGGGCATCTCCCTCCAGAGCATCCCAGCCGGATCCCTGCGACAGCTGAGTCCCGGGAGCCGCCCGGTCTCCGGGGAGCCGATCCCAGCCAAGGGGCTCTGCAGCCCAGGTAGTTGGGAAAGGGGGACTTGTGACCGGTTTGTTTCACAGTTACGACCTTCGCGTCGCGGGATCCCAGTGCAGTCTTGGCAGCCGGTTCTTACTTAACGACCGTTGTCGTCATTTCCCAAGGTCACGCATGATCCCCTGTTGCGACCTTCTGTCGAGCAAAGTCGAGGGGGGGAGGAAAAGCGGATTCACTTAACAACCGTCGGACTAACTTACCAACTGCAGCGATTCGCTTAACGACGGTGGCGAGGAAGGTCGTAAAACGGGGCGAAGCGCGCTTAACAAAGGTCTGACTTAACAAAAAGAAAATTTGGGCTCAGTTGAGACCGTAAGCCGAGGATGACCTGTATTGGTGCGTTGGATGGACGGGAGGCGCCCTTCTCAGCCGGAGCCTCTTAAAGCAGGTGTGTCTTCTCCTGGGACCAAAGGCCCTGCGGAAGACAGCCCGGCCATTCCTGGCTGAGGTGCAGCTGCTTCCAGGAGTTCCAGGCAGAGGCCATTTGAGGATTGCACCGGCTCAGACACCCTGCTCAGCCTGGGGAGGGGTGGGTGTGTGTGGTTCCTTTCCCACACCTTTCTGGCCCTGAAATCCACAATTCCACAATCGGCCCTCTGGAGCAGGATAGGAGAAGTCTCCACCTGTTCCCACGTGAGCCTTTTTGCCCTATTTGAAGGAAGCAGCCCCCTCCCTCTGGAGACGCCTTTCCTCAAAGGCCGGTCCCAGCCACTCCCTGGGATGTAGCTGCCGGTCTCCTGACCCTTCCCTCCTGTTCCTGTACAGGTGGTCCTCAGCTTGTGCTCACAATGGGAACCGAAATTTCTGTTGTTAAGCAAGGCAGTTATTGAGTCATGCTTGAGGGCCGTGGTGGCGAACCTATGGCACGCGTGCCACAGATGGCACGCAGAGCCGTCTCTGTGGGCACTTGTGCCGTCGCCCCAGCCCTAGGCCTTCAGCTGGGTTTTATGAAACCTTTTTGTTTTAGGCCTCTGCCTCCATGTGCAAAAAAAAAGGTTCAGTCAATCAATCAATTTCAACTTCTCGCAGGAAAAAAAAAAGATTTCGCAAAGTTGGAATTGATAGATTGAACTTTTTAGTCCCACCCAGTCTGCCGTTACCACCGCAGCCACGCCCACCCAATGGGCCACGCCCACCCGGCACCTGACGATACATAAGTGGGTTTGGGGTTGCAGTTTGGGCACTCGGTCTCTAAAAGGTTCGCCATCCCTGCCTGAGGGAATGACCTTTTTTTTAAGGGAATCCCTGCAGTTGTTAAATGAAACATCTGGTCATTAAGCGACTGTGGCTTCCCCCGTTGCCTTTGCTTGTTGGAAGCCAGTTGCAGATGGCTGCCACCTGGTTCAACCGTCACGAATACCTGTCAGTTGCCAAGTGCCCAAATTTGGATCCCATGGTTATGGGGGTGTAGTGGTGGCTGTCAGGGTGGGGGCCTGATGTAAGTCATTTTTTCAGTGCCCTTGAACCTCAAATGGTCGCTAAACGAAGGCTTGTAAACCAAGGGGTCCCTGTATGTCTGAATCCTCCTTCACAAGAGCTGCCAAAGATGGAGTCACAGGACAGAATATCCTGAACTTGTTATCTGCGCTCATCCATCGGATCCTGGGACAGGAGGGTTTGAAGTAGAAAACCCAAATTTGCACCCCTTCCCCATATTTACAAGGCACGGCCGCCAGGGACTCAGAGAGAGGCTGGAGAGAGTCGAGACAACGTTCTCCTGGATCGCCCCTCACAGACCATCATGTCCAGTTAGGGGCCCTGCTAGCTTTGATTGCCTCTAAAACCCTCCAGGGCAAAAATGCAGGAGGCAGAGACCCTCGTCTCAGGCTTAGGGATGCCAACTCTGCATGCAGGGAGGGAGCAAAAGGAGTCGTGGGGCTGGATTCACACAACCCAATTCACCTGGGTCAAACAGAGCTGGATCACCTGCAGGCCATTGCACTGCTCCAGAGACCCCTTCCTGTTCTGGAAGGCGTTTTTCTGGAAACTGGTTAGACCACCCCTGTTCCAGGAAGCCATCTGGGAGGGGGAGGGGGGAGGAGGAGACGACATTCCTAACTCTCCAGAAAGGGTCATCCTTGGAAGGAGACATTTTGTGCCTCCTAAAAGGGGTGTTGGTTCAGGTGGGGGCTCTCTAGCAGTGCAAGCCTGGAGGAAGAATATCCGTGTTTCCAGCCCGTTTCCAGGGACAGGTGCTGGGCATTGTCTCCTTGGCTGCCATTCAGCACAGACCGAGCAGCAGCTATTTAGAGAATCTCACAGTCTCGCTCTGACGTTCACAGACACCCTTCGTTTGCCTGTCTCATACCCAGAGGAAGATGGCGGCCTTTGCGTCTTTCTCCTTCTTGGGCTTATTTTTGCCTCGAGCAGGGATTTAATCTCTTCCTGGTCTTTCTACCAGTTGGCTCTGCCTCTCGGTGGCTGGAGGAGAGGGCCTACTTCTCCAAGATGGCGACCTGGTGGCTTCGTTCTGGGAACCTGGCCCGCTTTTGCCAAAAGCTCAACCGGGTGAAGACTCTGCAAGATGACCTCATGGAGACCTCCCTCAACCGTTGCTTGACCACAGTCGATCTGACGCTGCTGGGCATTGGCGGGATGGTGGGCTCCGGCCTTTATGTGCTCACTGGCACCGTTGCTAAAGAGACAGCTGGACCGGCCATCGTAGTGTCCTTCATCATTGCTGGCATCGCCTCTCTGCTGGCCGCCCTCTGCTATGCGGAGTTTGGGGCCCAGGTGCCCAAGACGGGCTCTGCGTACATGTTCACCTACGTCTCGATGGGCGAGATCTGGGCCTTCCTCATAGGTTGGAATGTCGTTCTGGAGTACATGATTGGTGGAGCAGCTGTTGCCAGAGCCTGGAGTGGCTACCTGGATTCCATTTTTGACCACAGGATCAAGAACTTCACAGAGGTCCATGCTGGCACTTGGCAAGTACCCTTCCTGGCCCATTATCCGGACTTCTTGGCATCGGGCATTGTGCTCATAGCCACGGCCTTCATTTCCTTCGGGGCCCGATTCTCCTCTTGGCTCAACCATGTCTTCTCGGCCATCAGCATGGGAGTCATTCTCTTCATCCTGGTGATGGGATTCATCCTGGCCAGGCCCCAGAACTGGGGCGCCAGTGAAGGAGGGTTTGCCCCGTATGGCATCTCCGGGATCATGGCCGGCTCAGCCACGTGCTTCTACGCCTTTGTGGGCTTTGATGTTATTGCCACGTCCAGCGAGGAGGCCCGGAACCCGGAAAAGGCCATTCCCAGGGCCATCGCCATCTCACTGAGCCTTGCCACCGGAGCGTATATCCTCGTGTCCGTGGTGTTGACGCTGATAGTGCCCTGGCATTCGCTGGACCCTGATTCAGCCTTGGCTGACGCCTTCTACAAGAGGGGTTATTCCTGGGCAGGTTTCATTGTGGCCGCCGGTTCCATTTGTGGTAAGTTCCCTTATGCCTGGGTCACCAATACCTTCTGGCTGGCACCTTGGGTGCCCTTTCTGCCCTTTTCCTTTCCTCCATTCTTTCTCCTAATGTGGTCTTACCAAAGTTGGCTCCTCCAAATGGTCTGGCACAGAATTCAGGGGCTGCTAGGAGAGGCCAGGATATGGTCCCTTGTAGACACTGCCTGGGGTAGTTGGCCAACACAACACATTATAAAAAGACGCAGTATAGTTGTGCCTAATCCTAAATGGGTAGGTTGGGACCTGTGATTAAACATAACAGAAAGGCACCAGGTTGGAGAACACTGCCTGCATACTAGGCCACTTAAAAACGACCTGAAGCACGAAAGGAAAGACTAGCAAGGATTTTACGCCCGTGTGAAAAGGTTTTTTTCTGTCCCTCTCTTTCAAGTTAGCATTCAGAATTACCATGGTTGGAGATTGGGGCATTCGGGTTTAAAAAAAGGAAGTAGAATGTGTGTCAGCCGTCCCACTCTGTCATCTAGCAAAGAAAGACTCCTGGCCGTTTGCTTCTGCCAAGAGTCTACTTTACTGAAGCTTAAGTGGTTACAGAAGTAGCATAAGCTGAATCTGAGGTTTTCCGTGCAAAGAACACGAAGTAAATGTTCCTCTCCTCCCTCCCCCACCATCCCCTGGTTATTTGCAAATGTCCAATCGGGTGCTTGTATATTGTTCAGCTCTGCATGTCAATAGTTGATCTTGGCTGGCTGAAGCTTCTCCCACTGCTCAGCTGGGCTTCCATCCTTCCCCCTTTCTTCCTTACACTCCAATCTTTCCCTCTCCCGTCGCTAGTGTCAGGCTGTCAGCTCATGAAGCTTAGACAGGAGAGATGCAGGCTTGGCAGTGTGGGAGGTGTAGGCATTGGGTATAGGGCAGTGATGGCGAACCTTTTAGAGACCCAGTGCCCAAACTGCAACCCAAAAGCCACTTATTTATCGCCGGGTGCCAGGTGGGCATGGCCCACTGGGTGGGCGTGGCTGTGGTGGTCATGGCAGAATGGGTGAGTGTGGCCAAGGTGGGCATGGTCACCTCAATGTTGCTCATGGGCAGGGACGGGGCCGGACAGGGTTGGGGGAGATCCAGGGGTCTCTGGTGGGTGGGACAGTGGGCAGGAGGCTCATCCTGCAAGGTGAGGGGAGGCGAGGCCAAGAGGGATGAGACGGGGGGGGGGGGAAGAAACCAGCCATGCTGGGATGCATCTGACCTTGTGGGACCTCGGCGAGTTAGCGGGCGGCTGCTTGAAGAGGGATGGTTGCCATCTCCGGGGCATACCGCGCGTGCCCACAGAGAGGGCTCTGAGTGCCACTTCTGGCACGCGTGCCATAGGTTCCCACCACTGATATAGGGTCTCTTGCTTGAGCAGGAGGTTGAACCAGAAGACCTCCAAAGTCCCTTCCAGCTCTGTTATTCTATATTCGGTAGGCGAGAGGAGTGAGACAAATTCCTGAGGGACCTGGGTCTCTGCAGCTCTTAGTTTTGATGGCTGCTTGGTCCTCCTGAAGCATCAACAGCAATCTTGGCTGGCAGGGAGAAGCCATTCCTCCTTGCTTCCACACAGCTTGCAAGACCTGTTGGGTGGCCACCGAGGAACCCAGAATACCGGCTGGATGAGTCCCTGGTCAGGTCCACCCTGGGGGGAGGGCTCTTCTTTTATGCTAGCTTTCCTAGCTTTCTCTTCTCCTGCTGTCCTCCCAGTGTCCAATGGTGTAGAAGGAGGGTGCTGCCCACTCCCAAAAAAAGGCAGCTGCAGCAAGACTCGCTGGCCTAGAGCAGGGGTAGGCAACCTTGGCTCTTTTAGGACTCGTGGACTTCAACTCCCAGAATTCCTGAGCCAGCCATGCTGAGGGGAAAGGGAGAGGTTTCCATGCTGAGTCATGCTGGCTCAGGAATTCTGGGAGTTGAAGTCCACGAGTCATAAAGCGGCCTAGGCCTAGTTCTAGGCCAGAGGTAGGTAACCTTGGCTCTTTTATGACTCGTGGACTTCAAGTCCCAGAATTCCTGAGCTAGCCATGCTGAGGAGAAAGGGAGAGGTTTCCATGCTGAGCCATGATGGCTCAGGAATTCTGGGAGTTGAAGTCCATGAGTCATAAAGCGGCCTAGGCCTAGGCCAGAGGTAGGCAATCTTGGCTCTTTTATCTTTCATGGACTTCAACTCCCAGAATTCCTGAGCCAGCATGGGGGAACTATGGCCCCCTTCATGACTCATGGACTTCAACTCCCAGAATTCCTGGGCCAGCCATGCTGAGGAGAAAGGGAGAGGTTTCCGTGCTGAGCCATGATGGCTCAGGAATTCTGGGAGTTGAAGTCCATGAGTCATAAAAGAGCCAAGGTTGCCTACCTCTGGCCTAGGCCTAGGCCGCTTTATGACTCATGGACTTCAACTCCCAGTATTCCTGAGCCATCATGGCTCAGCATGGAAACCTCTCCCTTTCTCCTCAGCGTGGCTGGCTCAGGAATTCTGGGAGTTGAAGTCCACGAGTCATAAAAGAGCCAAAGTTGCCTACCCCTGGCCTAGAGGCAGGCCTTCTGCAGAAAAGGGGCTGCCTGCAGGCACCGCCACCTTCTCCAACACTCCCCAGTCCTCTCGGAGGCACCTTGTGACCCCAAGCTTGTCTTTTGTCTGTCCTCCACCTCAGCCATGAACACGGTTCTTCTCAGCAACCTCTTCTCCCTGCCCCGGATTGTCTACGCCATGGCAGAGGACGGGCTCTTTTTCCAGGTGTTTGCCCGCGTTCACCCACGCACACAGGTGCCTGTGGTGGCTATCGTGGTGTTTGGCTTCCTCATGTCTGTCCTCTCGCTCATCTTTGACCTGGAGGCCCTGGTCCAGTTCCTGTCCATTGGCACACTCCTGGCCTACACCTTTGTCGCAGCCAGCGTGATCATCCTGCGCTTCCAGCAAGGCAAAACTGAAGCCCAGGAAGCCCCTGGGAGGACCGAGGCCATCCCAACATCAGATGAGGCCGCGGGCACCACCGAACCCAAGGAATACGAGTCTTTCTCAGATAAGCTGCAGTTGGTGGGCAAAGAGAAAGCAGAGAGGTTGCGTGAACCAGGGCAGCTGAAGGCAGCCTTTGAACCCTACCTGGAGTTCCTCAGTGATTTCTACCCTGGCGAAGTGGTCAGCGTGTCCGTGGTCGTCCTCATGGTGTCAGCCCTCTGCTTGACATCCATCCTGGTCTTTGGGAAGACACAGCTCCAGCTGCCCACCTGGAGTTACACCTTGCTCATCCTGCTCTCCAGCCTGGCTTTCACTGGCAGCCTTGTCCTCATTGGCGTCCATGAGCAGAAGCAGGCCACCCAGACGTTCCAGGTGAGGGAGGCCGGCTCGGCAGTTGTTGTTTTTTTCCCCCCTTCTTTTGGTTTAATAAGGTAAGGTCATCCACTGTAAACTGTTCTGTTTCATTTCCCGTATTTTCAACACTCTCCCTGCTTTTGTACTATTTGCTTCTCAAGGAATTTGTCATGTAAACACAGAGTAGTACTGATTGGCATATTTGCAGCTTGCAATATTGAGGTATTCTTCCCTTTATATCTGCCTGCTTTGTTCTCTATTCAGCCTCTAGGCCACGCGGGCGGTGTGGGGAGGGACTCGTCGCTCCCATGTGACACCGCTGCTGCGCGAGCTGCACTGGTTACCAGTGGTCTTCCGGGTGCGCTTTAAGGTGTTAGTTACCACCTTTAAAGCGCTCCATGGCATTGGACCTGGCTACCTCCGAGACCGCCTTCTGCCACAGATTCCCTCCCNATTATTATTATTATTATTATTATTATTCTTTTTTTTTTTTAAATTATTTTTCCTTTTTCACTTTACAAAAACAAAATACAAAATACATTTTTTTCCTTAACAGTACTGTGTCCTATATCTCTTACATTTATTTACCATTGTTTATATGATTTCTCATACTTTTTTATTCCTCAATTCTAACCAGTTGTAACACTTGTCCCATATCTCATAAAATTCTGTAGCTTCTTTGTCTTTGATTTCCAGAGTAAGTTTGTACATCTCAGCGCATTCTAGTATCTTGTAAATAATCATATCATTTGTTGGTATTTTTCAATGCTCTGATGCAGAGTTGGTGGGTGTCTACTGGGGGGGGGCAAATGCATCACCTTCCCCAAACACAGCTAGGCCAGAGCAGACCGGTTGATCAGGCTGGTTGTCCAAGTTGAAACTGCAAGGAAATATGTTCTCAAATTGGGCTGTAGCCACCTGCAGAGTTGGGCGACAAGTCCTTCAATCCAGCAAGCAGAGATTGGGAGGCTTCCCTGGCTGACAAGGCCCCAGTGCTTATGGGTGGGGTCCTAACATTGCATTAAGCCATGATTGATTATGTGCTACCAAATCCTTTGGGGACCACATCGGTAGGTTTTCTCCATGAAAATGAGTAATGTGGTTTAGTTTTAGGAGAGCATGTTGTGCGAACACTCTACCCACAGTGCAGCTTCAGTTTCCCCCAAAGTAGGTCCTTCAGCACTTCCTTTGGAGTTCCTCACTGCTACTTTCTGCAAACAAGGTTTTTATCTCTCAGGAAACCAAACCTCATTGTTTGCCAGGCCGTGATGGGTCAAATACTAGTACCGCTTTATAAAACCCTAGTAAGGCCACACCTGGAATACTGCAGCCAATTTTGGTCACCATATCACAAAAAAGTGATATGGAAAAAGTGCAGAGAAGAGCAACTAAGATGATTAAAGGCCTGGAGATTAAAACATATGAAGAACAGCTGCAGGACTTGGGTTTGGCTAGTCTAAAGAAAAGAAGAAATAGGGGAGACATGATAGCAGTCTTCCAGTATCCGAGGGGCTGCCACAAGGCAGAGGGGGTCATGTTATTCACCAAAGCGCCAAAGGGAAGGACAAGAAACAATGGATGGAAACTGACCAAAGAGAGAAGCAACCTGGAATTAAGGAGAAACTTCCCAACAGTGAAGACAATCAGCCAGTGGAACAGCTTGCCTCCAGAAATCGTGGCTGTTCCATCACTGGAGATTTTTAAGAAGAGACTGGACAATCACTTGTCTGAGATGGTATAGGTTCTCCTGCTTGAGCAGAGGGCTGGTCTAGAAGACCTCCAAGGTCCCTTCCAGCTCTAATCTATTCTAAATCCTGTGCCAGGAGTCCTTCAGGCATCAAAGCCCTTTTGCACATCTGTTGGGAGCTGAGCAGCAGCCCCACGGTGTTCGTGCCTCCCATGCAGTTCTAACCAGCCTGCTGGTCCTCTGCCAATAATGTGCTGCAGCTGCCACAAGAGCCAATGCAGTCCTAGGCTGATCAACAGAGAGCTAGCATCAGGATGACGTATGAAGTTAATACTTAATGCTGCCCTGGCAAGACCACACTTGGAATACGGCATCCAGTTCTGATCACCACAATACAAAACAGACACCGAGGCCCTAGAAAAAGTGTAGAGAAGAGCAAGAAAGATGATAAGGGGGTCTGAAGGATAAACCATAAGATGAATGAAGGCGGATATACATGTCCCAGGATAATGTTGCAGGATCCAATCTAGGTCAGTCACTGGGGCCCATCCTCATGTCACACAGAGAAGTTTGCTGAGGATGGGATCCAGCATGACTCCAAAAGCTCAAAAGACAAAATCTCTGATCCGGGTGACCGATCCAGATTGGATCCAGTACTACGTATGTCTAGATCTAACAAAGAGAAGAATTAGGTGGGACATGATAACTGTCATAGAGAAGTGGGAGTCATTGTCCAAAACACCTGAGGGTTGTGTCCCTTCTTCCCACCTCCCCAGCACTTGGGAACACCTGAGCTCGCCAAAGAAAGATCCAACCTAGAATTAAGGAGAAATTTCCTGACAGTGAGAACAATCAATCAATGGGACATCTTATCTCCAGAAGTTCTGGGCGCTCCATGACTGGAGGTCTTGAATAGAAAATAGAGTAGAGTAGAGTAGAGTAGAGTAGAGAATAGAGTGGAGTAGAGTAGAGTAGAGTAGAGAATAGAGTAGAGTAGAGTAGAGTAGAGTGGAATACAGAATAGAATAGAATAGAATAGAATAGAATAGAATAGAATAGAGCTGGAAGGGACCTTGGAGGTCTTCTAGTCCAGCCCTCAGCTCAAGCAGAACTATATCATCTCAGACAAATGGCTGTCCAGTCTCTTCTTAAAAACCTCCAGTGATGAAGCACCCACGATTTCTGGAGGCAAGCTGTTCCACTGGTTAATTGTCCTCACTGTCAGGAACTTTCTCCTTAATTCCAGGTTGCTGCTCTCCTTGATTAGTTTCCAACCATTGTTTCTTGTCCTGCCCTCTGGTGCTTTGGAGAATAGTTTGACCCCCTCCTCTTTGGGGCAACCATTTCTCTGTGAAGGAATAAGAGCTCCTGCCTTGGGCAGGGGGTTTGACTCAAGGTCCCTCCCAGCCCTGGGATTCTGTGATCCATGCCCTCCTTCCTTTCCAGCTTCCGCTGGTGCCGCTGACGCCTGCCCTGAGCATTTTCATCAACCTCTTCCTCATGCTGAAGCTCAGCTACATGACCTGGCTGCGTTTCTCCATCTGGTTGGTGGCAGGTAAGTTTTAAGAGGGCTGCAAAAAGGCACACCTGGAACGGGGGTCTGAAGAAATATAGGAAGGTGGAGTAAATCTGGGATGGTGACTGGAACAGGGGTTGCATCCCAAGCAGTCCAGGCAGGGACATTTGCAAGGAGGTCACAGAGGTTAAGGGGACTGTCGTGACTGTATAATAGAGTCCCCCAATCTTTTGGGGCTGGCGGCCCAGAGCGGGGGTAAGGGGGGGAAGAAGGGATGGTTTTGTGTATGAGGGGGTGAATGCATGCATGCTCGTGTGCATCTGCATGAACACCCGTTGCTCGTGCGAGTGGGGCCCTGAATGCCCACGACCCTCACATAAGTGGGGCCAGCCAGCCACTCAAGCCAGTGGCCAATACGCCGCGGCCCGGTATTAGTGACCACGGCCCACAGGTTGGGGACCCCCGCTGTATAATACAGGTACAATTGAGCCCAAAATTTCTGTTATTCAATGAGACATTCGTTAATTGAGTTTTTCCCCACTGTACGACCTTCCTTGCCACAGTTGTTAAGGCAATCTGGCTACCCCATGGACGTTGCTTGACAGATGGTGGCAGAAGGGAGTCCCGTGACCTTGGGACACAGCAACGGTCATAAGTAGGAGTTAGTGGCCAAGCATCTGAATTTTGAGCACCTGATCATGGGATGCTACAAAGGTCGTAAGTGTGAAAAATGCTCGTGTCACTTTTTTCAGTGCTGTTGTAACTTTGAACAGTATGAACAGTTGTAAGCTGAGGACTATGGTATAGGTCAGGGGTAGGCAACCTTGGCTCTTTTATGACTCATGGACTTCAACTCCCAGAATTCCTGAGCAAGCATAGCTGGCTCAGGAATTCTGGGAGTTGAAGTCCATGAGTCATAAAAGAGCCAAGGTTGCCTACCCCTGGTATAGGTTCTCCTGCTTGAGCAGGGGGCTGGACTAGAAGACTTTCAAGGTCCCTTCCAGCTTTAATTCTATTATATTCTATTCCTATTATGTTCTATTCTATTCTATTCTATTCTATTCTATTCTATTCTATTCTATTCTATTCTATTCTTTCTATTCCATTCCATATTTTCTTTTCTATTCTATTCTATTCTATTCTATTCTATTCTATTCTATTCTATTCTATTCTATTCTATTCTATTCTATTCTTTGTCTGAAATGGTATAGGCTGGGTCTCCTGATCAAGCAGGGGGTTGGACTAGAAGACCTCCAAGATCCCTTCCAATTTTATTATTCTAGGTTCTATGTTCTACCTGCAGAAGCCCTGCCCCTGTCCACATGAGAAAGGCAGGGCCTGGTCACTCAGTCCTGACTGCCATCTTGACTTTTTTGACCCACACCTTCCCCAGATGCCCCTGAACGCAGGTTCAATCTGTGATTCAGCTCAACCGTCTCCCAACGCTGGCAGGTGGGCTGCTTTGAGAGAAAGCAAGCAGGAAGCTGTCCTCACCTGGAACCTGCCCAATAACAATATTCCTGGACCATTACAAACGTCAATCCCTTTAAAAAGAGGATAAAACTCCACACAATAAATTGCAGCTGGTTTAACCTTCCTGGAAACATCAGTGCACTATTGTAGTGTAAAGCAAACCTCCAGAATCAAACCTAAATGCTATGAAAGTATTTATTATGTCTCCAAAGCTGACAATCTGCTAAACGACCATTCAGATTCTCAGATAGCACCACAATTGAGAAATGTTTACGCTGTTACCGGGGTCTAATGTGGCGATTGTAGCTAATGTTTTGGGATGTCAAGTAGTCCTCAGTTAACTTCCATAATTGGGACCGGGAACTCCGTCGCTTAGCGACACTGTCGTAAAGCCAAAAAGTCACGTGACTGTGCCAACATACGACGGCAGTTCTTGCAGTCATTAAGCGTAATATCAGATGGCTGTGACTTGCGACTTCCTGACTTTGCTTGCTGGAGGCCGGCCAGAATGGTTGCCAATGGCAACCAGATGACCACAGGGTGATGCGGCCATAGTATAAATTGCACACTAATTGCCAAGTGAACAGGTTGCAATCATATCGTCACAAGGATGCTGCAATAATCACTGCTTTGTGGACTGGCCTTAAGTCTCCCCATTCTGTGCGGTCATAACTCTGAACAGTCCCTGAACATGCAGCCACTAAGTGAGGACTTCCTGTATTCAGATCAGCGCCCACCTTTGATTAAAGGTCCACTGCAGATTTTTATTACTTACTTCAGTTATAGGAAACCCCTCACTTAATGTCTGCCCTGTTTAGCAATCATTTGAAGTTGTGATGATGCTGAGAAAGTAACTTTACGACTGGTCCTCACACTTATGACTTTCACAACATCCTCACCATCATGTAATTTAAATTCAGGTGTTTTGCAACTGGTGGGGGTTATATCTATGGCTGCGTCCCACGGTCACTTGATTTTGCCCACTTCGGTGGTGACTTCTGATAAGCAGGATTTTCTGGCTGAGGAATTCTGGGAGTTGAAGTCCACAAGTCTTAAAGTTGCCAAGGTTGAGGACCCCTGTTCTAAGAGCTGTTTCCTCTTTGGGGCCAAATAATTTTAATATTTAGCATTTTGGCAGCAATTAGCTGCAGGGAAGGTTGTAGTGCAGATATTGAGTCATCTTCAGGCTCGGCCCCTTTCCTAGGGCTACTTGATCATTTGGGGCACCAGCATCCTGGCTACAACAGGCAGGCCTCTCTCTATACAGCCAACCTCTGAAAGCTTGGAGCATTTTCAGTACAGGTAGTCCTCAGCTTACGACCACAACTGAGCCCAGAATTTGTGTTGCTAAGTGAGAAATTTGTTAAGTGAGTTTTGCCCCATTTTATAATTTCCCTTGCCACATTTGTTAAGGGGATTGCTGCAGTTGTTAAATTAGCAATACAGCTGTTAAGTGAATCTGGCTTCCCCATTGACTTTGCTTGTGTCAAGGTATTGATTTAACAGCTAACCAGCTTATGTAATGTCAGATGTAATGATGGGAATGACTCAGCAGGGTCTGTGTGCCTTTAAGAGCTTTGTGTGCTCTCTCTTCTGTTTCCTGCTGTAACTGCGGTGTGTTGGATCCAGCTGTACTAGCACATGTATGTAGATGGTTCCTGGTGTATGATATTGTAGAGAGTGTAAGATAAACCACCATATAATGTAGACCACTGTTGACTGTGTTTACTCTTGGGTTATCTCAGCGCAATAAGACTGTGCATGCTCTGGCAGCTTGTCAGAAGGTCGCAAAAGAGGATCACATGAGCCCGGGACACTGCAACTGTCATAACTGTGAATCAATTGTCAGGCATCCAAATTTAAATCACGTGACCATGGAGATGCTGCAGTGGTCGTACATGTGAAAAATGGTCATAAGGCACTTTTCCCCCGTGCCGTTGTAACTTTGAACAGCCACTAAATGAACTGTTGTAAGTCAAGGACTTCCTGTTCTCGAGGTTCTCTGCCCCACACGAGATAACTCTGGAAAGCCTGTTTTGCTAAGGAAGAACCGTAGCTTTGTGTCTACGGAGGTTCTCCGTCATCCAGGTCATGATTGTCCCAAAGATGCTTTTTCAGGAGGCAACTGGACTTTCTTGTTTTTCCTTTGAAGACGTTTTGCTTCTCATCCCAGAAGCTTCTTCAGCTCTGACTGGATGGTGGGAAGGATTTATACTCCTTGCAGACAGCTGGACATTTGCATCCTTTTAGAGAGTCTACAGGAACTATTGGTGCTTCAGTTTGAGATTCAGACAACAGAGACTCGTTCCCAACAGCCTGTGCCTGTCTTCAACAGTGAACACAGGACAGAAAAAACATCCTGCAGCCAAGAAGGCTCCACACCCATTTCCACTATTCAGGTGACCCTTGAGGACCCAGGTAAACCTCCAGGTGGCCTCAATGACTCTCTAAAAGAAGGCAAATGACCAGCTGTCTGGAAGGAGTATAAATCCTTCCACTCTCCACCATCTACTCCAGGAATAGGCAACCTTGGCTCTTTTATGACTCGTGGATTTCAACTCCCAGAATTCCTGAGCCAGCATGGCTCAGCTTGGAAACCTCTCCCTTTCCCCTCAGCATGGCTGGCTCAGGAATTCTGGGAGTTGAAGTCCACGAGTCATAAAAGAGCCAAGGTTGGCTACCTCTGATTCTAGTCAGAGCTGAAGAAGCTTCTTGGATGAGAAGCGAAACGTCTTTGAAAGAAAAACAAAGTCCAGTTGCCTCTTGAAAAAAGCACCTTTGGGACAACCTTAGCTTTGAATTATGGGCTAGCCAGGAAAGACGGCCCTGCCAGGTGGGATTGAAGGGGGCTCCACCGTCTTCCGTGGGGTCCCTTGAAGATTGTCTCTACGTGCACCAGGTTCCCAAGAGCCGAGGGACGCAGCCCCCTTGCAGCTCCTTTCTGGGTTCAGGATGGGGGCTCACCTGGCTCTTCCCCTTCTTCGCTGTCCTTCCAGGCCTGCTGGTCTACTTCAGCTACGGCATCTGGCACAGCAAAGAGAACCTGCGAGACTCCCCAACACAGGACGTCCGAGCCCGATACGTGGTCTTCCCTAGCAGCAGCCTGGAGGAGACGGTGCAGCCCGTGCAGCCCAGGACGGAGCCAGCCCAGGGCCTGACAGAGGCCCAGGACAGTGGTGAAGAAGCCAAGAGATGACCTGGGAAGGTCCAGCAGAGGCCACGCTTTCCTCGCCCCTGTCCCGCCCGTTACTGTCCAGTCTGGGCAGAGAAGAGCTCAGGCAGGAAAGTCTGGGGAGAAACCAACCTTATACTGCCAAGGGGGGGAGGTCGCCCCCACTGCTCCTCTCTTTACCTAGCCCCCCTTCTCTTGACTGGAAGACTGGACTCTTCCTGTTGCTGGACACCCTTGAGAAACGGCTCCTTCGCTTGTGCCCCGTGTTGCAGCCCAGCTAAACCGCCCTCTTTCAGGAAAGGGGTCCCGTCCCCCGCTTTGTGCCGTCCACTTGCTCCCCTCCCCTTCCTCTCTGTCCTGCCCTCCAAGAGGCAGTGCCTGGCCTGCCATTTCAGCATCTTGATAATCAGTGGAGGAAGGCCAGGTGCGCTGTTTACCCCAGGACGCTGCCCCTCGGATGGGGGTCCTGCAGCCCAGGGCAGGGACAAGGACTGTCAGAAGGACAGAGTGACTCTGAGAGGAGCAGACTTTGCAGTTTCTGTCTGTCTCGAACACGGCGCCTGGCCACAATCGAAGGCGAGCTGGGCACACGAGATCCCGAGCATCTCCTGTCTTGCACAGACGCTGGGCTGGGCTGACCACAGGACAGGATGTTCAGGGCTTCGGCCATCCTGGAACAGAGCAAGTGTTAAAAGTAGGGTAAGCAAACTTCCTCCTGCACAAGCCTGCCCTGGGATGCTCCTTAGATGCCAGGGGGGCAGCCTGGGGGGGTAGCACAATCGACTGAGAGGAAGCCAGAGGCCACCAATTGCAGCAAGGCATTGTCTGCCGGTTGGTTGCGGCAGGAGCAAACCAAGGTTGGTCAAGAAAGTCAACATGGCAGCCTCAACCAGGCAACAGGAGCCCCATCCTCCAACTGTGGTGGTGGCCATCTTGATTTTTTTGACTCTCTCTTCTCCCCCTGGACAGCCCTAGAGCAGCGGTCCCCAACCTTTCCAGCTTTGTGGACCAGCGGGGGCTGGAGGGGATGGTTGCGTGTAAGCGGCGCGTGCTTGCCCGCCGCTTCCACAACCCAGTCCCAAATAAGCCGCAGCCCGGTAGTGGCCGTGGCACGGGGTTGTGGACCCCTGCCCTAGAGCAAATCAGCACCTTGCCCCGATGTGGAGAGAAATGGTGGAGGGAGATGGATGGGGAAGAGGACCAAGGCTAGACTCCCCAGGAACACAAGGCAGAGATTCTGGCGGGTGCCTCCGCTTGTTTCCTCGGGGTGAAGCTGAGAAAGGAGAACGGCTGAGTTCACACAACACCCTTACCCAGAGATCGAGCGAGCCTGTTACCTTAGTTTGCCAGATATCCCGAATGACCCAATTATAGGTTGGCGCAACATGCTAAAATCACACACAACCAACACACACAAAGACCTCATTGCTAACATTCTCCCAGCTGGGCCTGTGGGGGAGATATAGCTTGGCTTGGCTTGGAGTGCTGTGTGAACACAGCCCCTCTGGTGGTTCTGTTCTTCCCGCGTGTTGTGAGAACACAGGAGGCTTTTCGAGGCTCTTTCTTGCCCTGGTTGGAATCCATACAGGAAGGTGCTTCAACTACCTGGAGCTGCAGTGTCTGCCTCCCTCCCACAGGGCTGCAAGGGGGCTGCCCTCACCCAAGGGGGCAACAGCAGGCGCTCCCCGGAGGGTGCACAGAGCACATAGGGGTGGTGGACCCTCTCCAGTGAGAAGGGGCTGCCTCTGGGTCCAGGAAGGAGGGACTGGAGCAGGGTGGAAGCAACATTTGGGGAAAGAAGCAGTGGGCGAAGGGAGAAGACAGAAGTCAAATTTCATTTTTGGACAATAATGTAGAGGAAGATCCTGCTTCCCTTTTTTGCAGCTTTCCTCGCTGGGAGGAGCTATTCAGGGTTTGTCCTGCCTGGCACCCTCATCCCCCTTTTCCACTGCACACTTCCTCTGCTTCCTGCTTAACTGTGTGGTGTGTGTGTGTGTGTGTGTGGCGGCCCTGG